CCAAACCATTTCCATGCCCATTTCAATCAAACAGCTAAATCTCAGGTAAGCTTCATCCAATGACCCACTGATTTATCACTGGCCCACAGACAGACCCTGCACCTTTCGTGCTGATCGGTCAAACGGGGATGCTACGGCCATTGTCTAAATATGTCTAAGACCCACGTTGGCTAATGCAGCTGAAATAATCTTATTTCTCATCAAACATTCAAAGATAGATCACCTTTCCCTTCATCTGAGTCCATATTTTTAAATCGCTTTCATTTTCCTGCCATTTGACTTTTAGAAATGCATCAAATTCAGTGATACTTCAGGCTGTGTACACTGCAGCAATTGCAATATTTTCCAACAGCTAGTCACCATATTTCCCCTCTGTTTCTCATCTACCCTTTTCCCTTTATCTTACCTTGATGAACATTTATACTGTAATGTCCTAATGTCAGGTCTCATCCTATCATAGTCCTATTTCCTATTTTCTGACTATTTAAATGCATTGGCCATCAGTTACAGTCTGTACTTCATTTCCCATAATTATAGTGAACTTCTAATTTTATGCCATTCACTCCATTCCTCCCCATTGCTTCTGTCCATTAGCTTTGGACCCGCTTGTCACTGCTTGCAGTTACCTTTATTATTATTATTATTATTGATCTATGTGTCCATAAAACATTATTAAAGAGGTCCCCCCATGTCCAATTTATTTTTTATTATAAATCAATGACTATTCGAGTATTTGAAAATCTTGACTCATCCCTAATGCATAGAATATCTCATTTTAGTTTTAAACAAAAAAACTAACAAAAAAACCTTGCATAGGCATTAATACCACTGCATCACTGTGCCACCCCCTGATGAGGTGAGTGTCTGTGTTAATTGTGAGTTTTATCAGCGTGGATGGATGGATGTGAAACACAGAAGTGTAGGACACATCTGACCTTGTGTGGAAGCCATTGTCATTTAATACCAGCAGGTATCCTGCTGACAGTCATGGTCACTGACCTGCTCCATCTTCTATCTAATCCTTATCTTTTTATCATGCTCACTGACAATTGCTTACACATAACTTAACTTAACTTAACTTATGTGTGCCCTTGTGTTACCTGTGGTTTGATCACCTGTGGGGATGCACCTCACTGTATGATTGCGGGACATCTGACTGGCAGCATTAGCAGCAGTGCAGGTGATGGTGACATTGCCCTCTGTTGGTGAAAGAAAGAAATGCAGCCTGGAGCTGCTCTCTGTCTGATCCCTCATCCTCCAGGTGTAAGAGGGTCTTAGGCCTCCTGATGAGTTGCACACCAAACGCACTGCGCAGGTGTGGTTCTCTGGATCCCAGGTGTATTCTGGCTGTATCCACACTGATGTTATGGGCTCTAATGAATAAGTACAGAAAAATGATGCTGTCAATATTTATACAGGTAATAACTTGATTGCAGGTCAGTGCAGGGGCTCAGTGGGCAGCACAGTGACCTCGGGCCTCCAGGATTGTAGGATGTTACATGTGATTCTACCAGACACTCCAACTTCATTCCTCAGTATAACCTGGCATCACTAAGCTACCCTCAGTATTTTACTGTAGGTGTGTCCTGTGTGATGGACTCGCCTCCCAACCAGTGTGTCCCTTCACTTAGGCTGCCCTGTGTCTCCTCACTGCAGATGAGCAGTTATGGAAAATGGAAGGATGGATAAGATGGTGTTTCTCCTAAACTTCACATCATCCATCCTACTTTCTTATCCTGGTTAGTGTCACAGGGAGCTTGAGCCTATCTATGCAACACAGGGTACAAGGCTGGGTATATGAGCTTTACAACAATACAGATAAAATTACAAACACAACACTGAGCACCTCTCTAAGATGGGCAAATATATAATTGTTTGAATAGTCATGTAATAATGTTTAGTATACCTAAATACACAGATTCATTCACTTATAGTACATGCATGTGAAATATCTTACCATTAACCTGCAGCTGGATTTTATATGCGGGAATCTGTGAACCATCTTCCTTCATTCCTACACGCTGATACTCCCCACTGTCCTCCAGTCTCAGCTCCCTCACAGTTAGATAGAAGTCAGGGCTCAGCTGCAGTCGTCCTTTGAACTGAGCATGAAGATTTACTTTTGCTTGCCCACTGGACATTTCAGCTATGAACCTTCCATTAA